AGTGTGTGCTTGTGAGCGTTGGTTAGTTATACAGTGTGCAGTCTTTAAATGTAAACCCTGGAGGACAGATCCTCAGCTGCTGTCAGGAAGTGTCGCTTGAGGGGTTTCAGTGGAGCTGGCCTATAAGGAAGTGACCAGGGGGGTGACTATGGGCATGGACTCCATAATTCGTATTAAGCTACTGTGTCAGGTGCTGCCTTGGCTCCATCAAGACAGCCCATTCCTGGCCCACTCCATGCGGTGTTGGAGCCAAGTGCCTGCCAGCAGCGTGTCTGCCCCAGCCAGCCCAGTGCCACCACAAGGCACCTGTTCATGGGGGCCGCCTTCCGTGCACGAGGGAAGCTCAGCCTTGGGCAGCACCGGGCCCCACCATGCCAAGTGCCAAACTACTCGAGTTCCTGCAACCAGAGGCCATGAAGTCTGTGGGGAAAGGCGCTTTTCACAGCAAGGGGTGAGGGAAAAGACAAGGAAAGTAACAGGAAGGGCTTCAAGACCCTGGGGCCCAGGAGGAAGATGTGAGAAGAGCTGTTTGTAGGAAGTTATTTGCAGCTGTGCATAGGAAGAGAGAAGGTGTGGGTGGTGAAGGGGTGTCAGCAGCACAGCAGAGCCATGGTGGGGGGACAGGGTAGTGGGGTACATGCACAGTCATTTGCCCCAAACAGCCTGAGTTTGCTCTGCAGCCAGAAATGTGTGTCCCCAGCCACAGGGACCTGTGCGACCTGACCCAGGAGGGCTCTGAGCATTTAGAGATCTGTCTCAAGGATTTTGTCAGGAGGAAACCATGCAGTATTGTGACCTAGAAATATGTTATTTCCAAGTGTCCTTAATTCCTCGACTTCTGCCTTTTGGAAGTGTCACTAAACCACTAGGCCTCTTCTCCTCATCAGGAAAAGACTGTGACCTGGCCAAGGATTAAGCAAAAGGATTTCTTTGATGTCATTTTGACACATTTGGTATGCAACATATTAAATCACATAGATCACTCCCCAGGTGTTAAATACCATCAGGAGGGTTTCTGCTAGGAGTATGTCCTGCTAGCAGGTAATGGCCCTGACGAGAAGCAGCATTTAATCCCAGCCTACTTTCTTCTCCACTGATGGTGCTGGTTAGAGCCTGGCACAACACTCAGGCACAAGGAGCACTTCAGCTGTCTGAGTGGCTGGCAGGCTCTAGTGCTTGCATTCCCATCAGCCTCCACCCACCACAGGCTGGGAAGCAGGAGAGAGGAGACAGTTTTCCATGGCAGAGGAGCACCTCCATGATTCAGATAGAGGGCTGGACTCCCTGGGGCAGGGGCAGGCACAGCTCTAAATCCAGTCAGGAGGAAGCATTGGTGGGAGGGAGAGAGGAAGAGGAATGCAACTGATTATGAAGCAAGAGTCTTTGCTTCTTATTCCATTTCTTTCTGCTCTCTTCCCTAGTAATGTAGGAGGGAAAAACCTCTGGAGGGAGTGTTGGGTGTAAAGCTGGATGTCTCTCAGTACCTTCCATAAATAAGGCACATTCCCCAAGGAAACTGTGCCTGTCATGTACGTGCTCTGCACAGCCCTGTACTTCTCTCTGAAAGCTTTAGATGCTGTAGGATACTCAGCCAGGACTTGGCAGCCACAGGATAGCCGCTGGTGTTATAAAGGCCTGTTGAAATCGAAGCAAAAACAAATTAAAATACTTTCCTTTCCCTCCTTGAAATATAACCCCTGATACATTTGATCCAGCTGCAAAGAAACTAATGTTTGCGACAGTGGCTTTATCAAGCCAGGCCACAATTAAGAACAGCTCTGAATATAAGCTACTGCCTTTGTAAATCACTCTCAACTAACCCTTCAAATGGCATCACAGCACAGTGAACAGAACTTATTTACAGTATTTCATGAGCCAGGGCCAAATAAAATCTGGATGGAAACAGCTCCTAGATTATTTATAGCCTTTGAGGGACCTGCCCAATGTCTCCTCATAACCTGAATCTTTCCTTAAGAGCTCCCCTTGATGGTATTGGCTCCACTCAGTTGAGGCAGACAAATCAAACAAACACCTTCTAAGCTGTTAATCTTACCTTACCCAACAGGTTATTAAATGATGCTTCTGCTCAGTAAGCAGAAATCAGTAGAGAGCTTCTTCCAATCAAAAAAAAAAAAAAAAGATGTAAGTATAATATATGGATGCATCCTACAGGTAAGGAGCTAAGGAGGAAAAACAGTGTGACCTAACTGGGAGAGCAAGACCAAAAAGTATTACAGAGCATCTCATCAATCTCTGGTGCCATTGTTCTGGGAGAAAATTGCCATTTCCTGATTTAATATCTGGTAGAGGTACAGTATTTTCAAAAGTATAATGTGTAACTACAGTATATATAGTCAGCTTTTCTGCAGTATAAAATGTATGATTTTAGCACCATATTGTGGAAAAATATGTACCGTGCAGAATTCACGAGGTGCTACAACTGACGGTTGAAAATACACACTTGCAAAATCCAAAAGAGCCGTTAAGTAACAAGTTGTTCTTTTCCCATATGTCCATATGTTTGGGAAAATTATGAGTCTGAAATGCTCTTGACACGTAATTGCCTCGCACTCCCTCATCCAAAATGTGCCAGTCCAGCAGCAGAGTCACTGACGTAGTGGGTGTGAAGGGAGAGCTGGGTTTGCCACGGGAGCAGCCCTAAGTGTGTGTGTGTGTGAGCAGGCATCAAGACCGAGGGAGAGAGGCCCGCACTCACGTGAAGCTGAAGCTTTGATTTCCTGAGCTGGTGGTGTGCAGCCTGCATTTCTGGCTCTGGCACAGGGCCAGCCAGGCCCAGCAGTTGAAAGATTAAGAGATAGAAAAAAGAGCCTGTGGATTTTCTGAGTGACCACCCACTAGTGAGCCATGATTTTGGCCTGTGAGCCGACATTACCACTGTGATATATTATGATGCAGGAGTCTCTAGGCACCCCTCAAATGCGTAAAGAATCATCAACTGCCCTTTGTGGGGGAAACTAAGCATAGAGAAGAAAAAAAAGGCTCTTGCCTTGAAAAAGTGCATACAGTCCTGAATTCCAATTCACTCCAGCTTCCTGATCTAGAAATAGCTTCACATGCTGCCTAATTTTTTTACAGATGAATTGTGCTACCTCTTGCTCCCAGCCATCACAGATTTGTTTATCAGAGTTAGTGCTGCGAGTGAATCCTAGCGACTGCTCTGCCAGGGCCACATCCTGACACTGCTCTGAGCAGGGGCTGCTTTGCACTTTCAAAAGGCCCCACACCTGTGCTCCCCATTGCAGTTGTCCTGCAGGGTCCTTAAGCCTTACATGCAAAATCAGAAGTGCTATTCACTATCTCTGCATAGGAAAGAAGGCTTTGTAAGACACTATTGTGTTACTGTGAGGGAGAGAGAGGTACTTGTGATCCTGACAATATCTGTGTGTTTAAGTGAAACTGATTTAAAAATCATGTGTGATTGTTTTGGGGGAGAAATTCAACACGTAATTTGACAGGTTTTTTCTAGTACCACGTCAAAGATTTTGATCTTTTGTTACATATGGCTATATAAATTTTACCTGGTTTATTTTGCATTAAAATAAAGGCTTTAAGACTATATATGATTATGTACTTGTATGTAGAGTTTTTCCCTTCTTTGTGTCTACAAAGTCATCCTCAGCCATGGATGTGATTTGATATTAGAGGATGATACATGATCAAGCTGGATCAGAATTGGTAAGATGACTTTTTTTAACAAAAAAATAAAAACCACAGCAGCCATGTGCTACTTTGTAGGGGAAAAAAAAGGCATCCCAGGGCTTAACTTGATTCTGTCTCAAATCTGCATTGTCTTCAGCTGTATTGCCTGAATCTTGATTCCATACCCTAGGATTGAGAGGAGAAGCAAGAAAAAGTCCCTTGTCAACTCAGAGAATTTCAGCTTAGGCAGCTGCTTGTTTATGGCTGAAGTTCCCCAGGCACTTTCATCTCAACATGGAGCTGTTTTCATGCTGTTGGTACCAGCTGAGGTGTTCTGCAGCCTGTAGCAGTTGCCAGAGGGCTGAGAGGGCTGGAGACCCCTGCCAGAGATTTAGGATGCCTTGAAAGTTCTGCACAGCTCTTCACATGAGGTACGTTGGTCATTTAACTGAAGCTGGTAACTCTTATTTTCACACATTATGCACAAGATAGATCTTTGTAGGATCAGGCTGTGGGTTGCAGTGAGATCTGGGCAAGAGTGTTATGTTAGGTGGAATAATTTTCAAAATAGATACTTCAGTGAAAAGGCATTAGTACAGGGAGAAGGAATAATGAAGCCTAAGATGGAAATTACAGGTTACTGTGAAGAAAAAGGAAAAAATAAAAGAACAAAATAGACAGAAAGGTGTAATAGAAAGGGCAGGAATGAGTCAATAAAAATACATGTGTACTGCATTCCAAAACATTTTGAATGCAGATCTTAGTGTTTACAGCCAAGACAGCTCATGGATAATGTCAGTCAATTTTAGCATGTATTAAATTATAAACCACATAGATGCCATTTTTAGACCCAGTCAGGTCATAACTTGCACTCACAGCTGAAAACTGAACAAATAAAAAGGATACCTCAGTTTCTCCTGCTGGAGCTGTACAGAGTAGCAAAAGACAAAGTAGGAGTGTACTGAGAGCTGGAAACTGGGTGACCACAGTTTGAGATCATAGTCCTTCTGCCTTGGTGGTCTCCTGTGGTTTCCCCACAACAGCACTCAACAGTGCTCCCCGGGACCTGGGCTCAAGTTAAAATCTGTTTTTCAGACTGCTCTATCTGTGTAAGGAAGTACGTGGAGCCATTCGACTGTTCATTAATTGTAACGAACAAGACCGCGCCCTCCTGAGACCGGTGTCCTGCTGTAAGCAGAGTGGGATGCAGCGCCTTTCTGCACGGAGGCTCTCGGAGCTGCGCTGCCCCAGCAGCAGTGCAGTGACCTGCTGCAATGTGCTCTACCCACGGCAGAGCATCACAGCCTCTCAGGAATGAGGAACGTGGCAGCTGGGCTGCTTGGGGGGCTCTCAGGAAGCAAAATGCCATTATCAAGATTGAAGTGGAGCTGAGCAGCTCCTGCAGCCTCCCAGAAGACATTCAGGGCTTCTGGTAAGTCCCAGAGGATTCTGGCTCAAAGGCTCTGGAAGTCTCCTGAGGAGGGTACTCAGGCTCCCTTTGCTTGGTGTGCTCATCCCTACAGAGAAGCTATGTAGGTGCTGAGGCATGCCTTGGAAAAGGATGGAAACAAGACAGAAGGGATCCTAATTCCTAAGTGTGGGGTCTGCTCCAGGGGGGACATCTTAGCTGATGGTTTTCTCAGTGATCTGACACAGGCAACCAGAGAGGTAGGATTGCTCTGGGAATGGGTAAAGAGAGGTGAGGGAGTGGAGAGTGGGAAATTATAAGAAGAGTCAAATGGAGCAAAGGAAAGGGGATGAAAAAACAAAATAGGTTGAAAAAGGGGGCAGGAGGTGTCAGACCTGAACAGGAAATAGGTGGGAAAGAGAGGGGATTGTCCCCAGTGTGTGAAATTCACAAACCAACAAGGAAGGTGGAACTCTGTGATAATACTCCCCAATTTCTGCTTTGCATCCCAGACTTGTAACATCCCTCCACTGTGTCCAGAGTCAAGACCAGGGACAAAGCAGCACAAAGCTACCTTGTGCCTGAGCAAGAAAGCGAAGGGCAAGTAGGGATTGTGAGGAAACCCATCAATCAGTATGGGGAGAGAGACACACCCATCACACATCCCTGCTCCCTCCCTAGATCACATGCTGGTACCCAGATCTCACAGCCTGTTCCACACACGCTTCCCTTCATCTCCCTGGGTACCACCAACATCACAGTCTCCTTTCCTGACTGCCTCTTTCATCCAGCCGTTCCCCCTGATCACTGATGTCCCCAAAGCCACATTGACCTTCAGTACAACTTTTGCCTTCACTGCTGAGAAGCCTCACATGCCATCTGCGAGTGTAGCTAACCAACACCAGTAATTTTGCTGGCACCTGAAAGAGTCAAAGTATGTGGTCCCCAGGACCACCCCACATGGTATGGGGTGGGACTGTGCCTTCATTACATACAGGGACAAGTCATTTCTGAGTCAGTGCTTTGTGGGTATAGACTGTAAGAAAGACAAAGATTTCATCTGCTTTTTTGCTCATCTAGAACAAACCTTTGACATGTGCAAAAGCTATTTTATTGCTGGCCTGGTACAAAAATCCTGAACCAGTTTCAAGGGCCAAAAAGGTGATTATAGTCTTTAAAGGAGAATTAATTCTCAAACTGTTCCCAAAATATGCCTGACAAACTAACCCAAGCCAGATGAGTTGGCTGTGCTCATGGTAAAAGGAAACCTCTGTGCAGAGGATGTTTTGCTTTTCCAGAAGAATATCTGCATTTAAAAGAAATAATTTATTGGGAAATATGTACAGTACAGTAAAATAGCAAAATGAGACATTCAATGAGGCTTCTATATAAAGCTGTGCCCTTTGCCTCTAGTGGATAATGAATACAAATGATATAAAGAAGCAATGAACATTCAATGTTTTATATTTAAAATACATTTGTGTGGAAAACAATGTGGCACAGAAAAAGGACTGAAGGGTTCTCAAAGATAATGCCAGAAGCTGCGAGATGTTAGCAGCTTTGTCGTATAAGTTTCAAGGTGTAGGTTTTTAATTTTCTCTTACGAATTGCAGAAGCAGTCGTGAAAACTGTCATTAAAATTCATGGCAAGGAAAGTAAACTTACATTAAAACCTACCCTGTTCTTCTCTGAATTCTTGGTACTGACTAGGAAGTGTCTGCTTCTCAGCCAAAACCTTACCTACACAATCTGATTTAGTCTCTAGGCTCTGTTAAACTGGAGTTTCCATGCATCACATCCTTCAATCCAGAGTACAAAAGGAAAAAAAAACTTAAAAATTGCAACCTAGATTTTCAAACCAGCAAGCTATGATGTTAAGAGGTTTGATTTGCCATATTTTTTCTAGGAATGAAAAGAGAAGAAAAAACAGCGCAAATATGAAGAGATTTGTTTATAGGTAAATAAAAATAAATAAACCTTCCTTCCCTTCCTCCTAGGTATAGATATGCATAATGTATATGTATATGAATATGTACACACACTTAGGTATTGCTGCTTTTGATCTAAAAGCAAGTTTACTTTATTTCTAGGCTCTCCCTGAAGGAGTCAGTATTTACAGCAATGTATGTGTGAGAGAAAGGCAGTATAAATGGTAAGCACTTGGTTCATGAGTGGCTGGATGTGCAGAGCGGCTGAGCCCTGCAAGCAAAACGAGGAGGCAGCTCTCAGAGCAGCATTTCCTCGTGCTGCTTGTCGCTCCAGTGCCTGCCTCCCTGTAAGTGACAATTTGCAGAGGTGGGCTGTGTTTGCAGGGCAGCCCCTGCCCCAGGTGTGGAAAGGATTGGCAGGGCTGCTGCAGTGGGTGAGGGCTCCTGGGTGGGCACCAGGGCCATGGGGCAGCCACAGCGCTCAAGGCCCAGCCAGGATGGGCAGGGTGGGTGGCACTTCCAGGACATTGAAACCAGAGTATGAGTTGTGGGGCTGCTCTTAAGACTGAAGCTGCCTGACAGTCTGTTGGTTAATTCGGCAAGCAGAGGAAATCAAAGGCACTCTAAGCAAGCTCAGTTTCCACTCTGCATTCACATTTAGCCAAATTAATCACAACTAATTCAGTTAGTGGAGTGTTAGGTTCAAGAAGGGTGTTTCTTACCTCTTCACAGAGGCACATGCACACATCCTCCTCACCATGAAGGATGTCTTTCCTATCCTCCTTCTTTGTGCCTCTCTCCTCTCTGTTGAAAATAAGCCCTCCAGGCCAGTTATTTTTCTTTATATATAGCAAGAGAACAGTAAGGCCTCAGTCCAGTGGGCATTTAATGCACTCCTGCCCCATCCCTCCCTCCTAGCACTTGGTCCCACCCCATCCCCATGTCCTTTCTCCTTCCCCAGTTGTAGGGATTTTCATTGTTGTGAAAGGACAATGGAAACTGAGCTGCTATTGAAAAAAAGACTGATTTGTTTTTTCTTTGCTGGGCTGTTTTTGACATGGATCATTTCCCAACTCAGTTCCTCAGATTGCTTTGATGGCACAACAGAGTGGATGGAGCAGTGAGGGAACCAGGCTGGGGGTCAGGATGGGTTGGAGAGTGGTTAGGCTGCTGTTGCTACAAAACAGAAAAGGGAAAGAAAAAAGAAAATAAGAAAGATAAGAGGAAGAAAAGAAAAAAGAGAAGAGAAAAGAAAAAAGAAAAGAAAGAAAAGAAAAAAGAAAAGAAAAGAAAAGAAAAGAAAAGAAAAGAAAAGAAAAGAAAAGAAAAGAAAAGAAAAAAGAAAAGAAAAGAAAAGAAAAGAAAAGAGAAGAGGAAGGAAAAAAAAAGAGAGAAGAGAAAAGAAAAGAAAGAAAAGAAAAAAAGAAAAATGCTAAGTCACAGCCAAAGCACAGTGTATTAGGGGCTTGAATTTAAAAAGTCACGCACCATCTTCTGCAAGGGTTACATTCCTCTGCACATTTACTTTTGGCCAAATTTCCTGAGAGCAGAGGCAGCCTTCACCAAGTTTGATTTCTTTAGGCTCTCTCTTGTGGATTTTGTTCTGTGTTTAGCATTAGGAAAAGATGGAAAATCTTGAGGCTTCACATAGGTTGTGGATTTTCCCCTTCCTGGGGATTACTTGCACATGGAGGCAGCAGGGAGCCCTGGGACCCCTTGCCAGGTCAGGGGTAACACACACATCACTCACCTCGATGGTCTGGAATAGGGGTGCCCAGGAAGGAGGGCAGTCATGGGCTCAGTTATGGAGGGCACACTGAGATTTCCATGTACTTGGGCTTCCTCAGCTCAGGACAGCTGCTCCCAAGGATTCCTGGGAGAGGGGGACAGGGGTCAGCAAGGGTGCAACCAGCAGGTCCCAAAGCATGGTCAGGGTGCTCACTGTCACAGCCCCAGCTCTGTCACAGTGGATTTTCTGTAGGACTTTTTTGTCCTGCTGGCAGGGGCCTGCTCAGGGATGCCAGCAAATAATTCAAGTCACCCTGTAACATGGTTTGTATCAGTCATGGGTTTGGCCAGCAGCAGTGACATTCAGCTAATGCTCCCCCAGCCTTGGAGATGAGAGGGGAGCATGTCTGCCAGCTGAGTTTCAGGTCCTCCCTGGCCCTGCAAACTCTGGGAGAACAATAGGAACCCTTGGCACACACGGGTAGTTGTTTGGGGCAGTGTTTCAAGGAGTGTAGCTTTTGTTTTGGCTGTTTGGTTACACGTCTCCTCTTGGATGTTTATGCTGAACAAAAGGCACTTGTTCTCTCACCGACTTCAATGAGCTTGAGTCCAGCTGGATTTGTGCTTTAGGTGTAGAGTGCCAACAAATACCCCCATCAGCAGCCCCATGCAGAGAGAGCCTGGGGACAGCACTGGCCTGGGCACACCCTGCTGTCAGTGTGCTCTCAGGAGCAGGAATGAAAACACAATTTGCAAACACCCTCACTGGAATGGGTCTGGGTACCAAGCCCAGAGGGCAGCTCTTGGGGCTCTCTGTATTAGGGAATGCTTTGATGCATTGTGTGCCCAGGATGTTCAAGTTTATCCTCTAGCTGCCAAGTAACCTGCTTGTCTGCTTTAATTTGCTAAGACTTTTTATTTTTAAGAAATCCTTTATTTATTTAAAAACTGCACATTTCCAATTAGTTCACTCTGCTCCTTTCTTGCCCTTCTCCCACACATCCTATATCAGGAGCCTCAGCTCACAAGCCGGAACACCAGTCAGGGTGCAAATATAAAATACAAAATAGTCCCAACAGCTGCCAAGCACAGACAGGCACATTGAGTGGGTGCCTGTACAGGGCAGACAGGCTCCAGAGACAGTGATTCAGCGGCAGGCAGACAAACATGCAGGCTCCTGCCAGGTCTGTGTGCAGGGGAGGGCAGTGGGGTTGCCAGGGGCTGTGTGCTGGGGTCCCAGGCCCCATGGAGTTGCCCTGGCACTTTGTGTCAGCACTGGAAGATTATTAAGCAGAGCATGGGCTCAGTTTACTTTTACTCCTGCTGTCAGCCTTCATAAGCCAAGATGTTTTAAGTTGTCCTTATCCTCAAATTAATAAATTCTGCTCTGTAAGAGTGTAAACACAGGAAAAGAACTCGACTAGAAAAAAAACACCCAAAAATTCAGGCTGGTGCTGTGCAGTAAGGACATTCCTTTTCCTGACAGGATATGGGATCAGAGTTTAAAAATATGCATTATGAGATGTGTGTTGGGGGCAAGGGGGTCAGTAGAGAAATCAAGCCCATTGTTGGTTGAGCAGGAGAGGCTGAGAGAGGAGACAGTTCAGCAGCAGGTGCCAGCAGTGTCCCTGAAGCCATGGCTGCAGGTGGGCGAGGAGGCCGCGCAGGCCCGGCTGAGGTGAGGCTGGGCCGGGCTGCAGGGCCACCCACAGCCAGGGCCCAGGGCAGCTGTGGGCAATGGCCCCACAGAGCTGCTGCCCCACAAGCATGGTGCCAGCCGGCCTCAGGGGCAGCCCCACATGGTGGGTACAATTGCCATGAGCAAACACTTTGCTCACACTTGGGGACACGGGGGATGGATGGCATGTTATGCCCCGTGACTGTGGGCTGGTAAGGAGAACCTCCAGCCTCCTCAGGCAACTTCCACACAGGCAGGGGAAGCTCCATGGTTGTGAACATCCTCTCCCCTTACTCATGTGTCCCAGTGACAGAGTATCTGCTCCAAATGCAAACCTCCTCTTGAGATGTAGCCAATTTCCCCCCCCCCCCCCCCCCGCCCCCCCCCCGACAGAGGTTGGTCATGGAGAGAGCAACCCTGGTGTGGGTGAATTTTTACTTTTGTCTGCAGGGGTCCCCTCAGAGGTCCCCTCTGTCAGAGACACAGCACACACAGGACTGGCTGAGCAAGTGGCTGGCTGCCCCCATGCAGCCCCCAGGCCACACCAGAAGAGAGGTGGGATCCAGGCAGCAGGCCTTTGGACAAAGTCAGGAAGCTGTTGCTGGTCAGGCATTTCAGGGGAGGGCATGATTTCCACAACAATAAACACATCTGATTATTTGATTAGAGGGAAGACAAGGTCCCCAGGAGGAGGTCCTCACACACAAAAGACAAATAACTTGTGCTCCCGCTGGCAATGGCAGGGCAGGAAGATGAGGGCGATGTCCTATTGAGGCTTTGATCAGCCAGGGTCAAGCATACAAGCTAACATGGCTGAAGAGATTCAGGCAGTGGTCCCACTGCAGGACAGTGCCTAGCCCTCTCCCAGCCCTCCACTTGTCTTTTCTGCAGTCTTTCACCCCTGTCTAGGAAGCAATGTGGGAGCCTCCTGAGACAGATCCTGCCTTGCAATGTCTCCTGGCTTCAGCAAGGCCATGTCCACTCTGAGCTTCTCAGTGCCAAGCATCACAGCACATCGCTCTACTTCTGCCCCTTGCTCATCTGCATGTCTGGGATAAACCAGTGAAAGAGGCTTGGTCTCATGGCATGCCTTTTGCCATGGTGCAAGCAGAGGGATGCTGAGATGCAGCAGTTGGAAGACAGGAGATTGTTAGAAGGGCAGAGAAGGTAATTTTCCAGTTCCATTTCTCCTGGACTTATACTTGGATAGTCTGGCCATAGTCATGGGCACCTGGGGATTTTCCTGGCTCCTGGAAGGTTGGACTGCCCCTTTTCATCCTGCCATAAGAGACCCTGGGGACTCTGCATTTAAAGGGATGGTTCTTAATGGTGCCAGCAACTGTACATCCTGTGATGAACTGATGGTCCTGGATGGAGGCTGCATAAAGTGTTCAGTGTAGATGTTTTACAGCTGTTCTGTGCCTTCATAAGACAGGTGGCCTCAAACCTCGGTGCCCCAGTAGCTTGACCCACATGAGTCCCTCCTGCAGAAGAGCCCCAGAGCAGGAAGGCTCTGTATGTATAGAAAAGGGCTTGAAGATCTGAGCTGTACTTTTACTTTCCCTTGGACTGTTTGATGCATAAAAGTAACTTGTATTTGGCCCACAGAGCTGTAGTGCTTGGAAGTGAGAGCAAGAAAGAGGTGATTTTGCACTTGGAGACTGGAGTTCTCCAAGATCTTTACAAACACAACACAACCCTTTCAAGTGGGAGAGACCCTTGCTGATCTCCCATATAGGGGGGAGCACTGGCTGAACACAAAAAATCACTGGTACTCCAAAGAGCAAGGTAAGCAAAGAAAAAAAACTTATTTCAAATACAGGTTTCTACACAGAGTTGTATTGTATAGATGCAGTATACAGATCAATTGGTGGGCAAGCTCTGAGATTCTGGTCCTAGGTTATATCTAAGAGTTTATTTA